CTCACCCCATCCACAACTAAGGACTCTATGAAGTTTCTCCTTCGATTTGCAACTGTTGCCCTATGGAAAAATTTGGTATTCAAATCCCCCTCCTTCAACCATAGCGCCCTCGATTTTTGCCGCCAACTAGTCTCCTGAGCTATTGCTGACTCGATTATTTCCCTCTTAACCTCCCCCAATCTATCTTTCTCAGATTCATCTAACTTCCTCGCCCCTTCCCCTCTCTCTAGTTCCCCCAATTCATGCATAAACGCCCTTATTTTAACCTCTACCCTCCCAAAACCTCCTTATTCCACCTAATAATATCTCCCTTGAGCAATTTAAGTTTCTTCGAAAGACGGAATGAAGGTGTCCCTAATACCCCGTAGCTTGTCCACCATTCTTTCATCTTGTCACAAAATCCTGGCACCTTAAACCACATGTTCTCGAATCGGAAGGGAGCACGCACCCCCTCCCTCTGCATCCATCTAGCAAGATATGCAAATGATCCGAAGTCAGCCTAAGTAAAGGAATCTACAGCACATTCGGCACCAGCTCATCCCAAGAGGGTGATATCAGAAATCTATCAAGTCTAGACCTTGAGTTGGAATCCACCGCCCTGGCCCAAGTAAGCCTTTCCCCTGAAAGAGGAAGATCAACGAGAAAGTGATCATTGATGAAGTCAGAAAACTCCTCCATGGCCCTCGAAATCAGACTACACCCTAATCTCTTCTCCGAGAATCTAATAGTGTTAAGGTCTCCCTCTAGACCCATGGAATGTCCCATTCCCCCATCATATTGGCCAATTCCTCCCAGAAGAATACCTTGGACCCTTCTCTTACCGGTCCGTATACTCCCCCAAATCCCCACTCCACCCCACTCACTCTATCTTTGACAAGAGTTGTTAAAGAAAAAACTTCCTTCTTAATTTTCTTTACCTCCAAGTTTCAATCATCCCACATTAGAAGAATGTCTCCGGCACTTCCCACTGCTGGAACCCAGTCATATTTTACCCAACTACCTCCCCAGATACTCCTCACAATCACATCCGACAAAACTTCCATTTTTGTCTCCTGAAAGCAAACTAGGTTAGCACCCCACTCTCTAACTCTCACTTTGATGATGGCCCTTTTGTTTGGGTCATTCATCCCCCTCACATTCCATAAAAGAATCTTAAGTTCCATAAGAAACAATATCCCCCTTCTCCCACCCCCTCTAATCGAGCTCCCTTACTCCCTGTCACACACCTGGCCCCTTCTCTGGTACACGACTACATCCCCTAAATTATTTTGCTTAACACCTTGACTCAACTACCTCCCTGCACCATTATTAAAAGATTATTGCTCAATCTCCCTCAACAGTTCTAACACCCTATCTTCCTTCCCTTCAAAAGAAACACCTAGAAACTTCCCAAAGTTTAGTAATTTATCCTCCATCCAGAAAGACATATCCCCTCTTCCCATCCGTGACAAATCGTGTAAGATGCAAGCGACATCAATAAAACCCCCCACAGATATCCCCAATCTTCTTGAATAATTCAAGACACCAAAGATGCACCGGGAGACCCACCATGTTGACAACCAATGATTCGCCGGTGAAACGAGGGTCTAGACACCCATCGTGCTCCACCCATCTGTCTAGCTTTAAGAAATTTCCATCAAACCATCTATTTCCTCTTACAAGAATTTCGAAAGCTTGAGACTCGTCGACAAAGAGAAAGAGATATTGTGTGTCCCCCAGTTGCGATATTTTCAGCCCGTCCTTGACGTTCCATGCCCTTGCTACCTAGTTCCTAACAGCCTCTGGAGAACCAATCCATTTGAAGAAAGACCCAATCAAACAAGATCTCAAGAAGCCCTTGCGCATGAGAGTGTGCTCCTCATATAGCGAGAAATGCGGATCTTGTCCTACGTCAAACTTTCGATGGCATCTTCCCCCAAGTTCTAGGACTGGCCAAGAGGCAGCTTTGATGAAAGACATGTTTTCCAGTTTTCTAGATTCTAGAGAGAAGTAGGCGTTTCTCTTTGTAGAATCCATCATATTCTAGTTGCGGCTGTCCCAAAAAAAGAGGTGAGAAACGACCGAAAAAACCTCAAAGGTTAGAAAAATCAATAGTCACAGTGGGTGGAAAACAGAACATAAGAAGGGAAGAGCTTTTCTGGTACTGAACAACGGAAACAGACGCCGGATTCTGGGGTTTAATGGCCGAAAAAAAAAAAAGTCGTCGGATTTTGGTGAAACTTAGACGGGAAGGCTCGAAAAAGCCTCGAGAAGAGGCTGTCATAAGAGAAAATTGAAAAAGTCACAGGAAGATGCCACACGCGCCGGCGCGTGGCAAGATCTTGCCGGAAAATCCGGCGCGTGAGGGCGTGTGAGATGTCAGATGCCGGCGGACTTTACTGGGGTTTGGACACGGGAAGCATATCTTGGTAGGGGTGTTGGAGTCTTAGGAAGAAGAAGAAAGTTGGGAAGTCCATCATCTGTAGCAGTGTTAGAGTTGGGAAGTTCGAAACCCTTCAGATCTTTCCCTAATTCTTAAACAGCCACTTCTGTTTTTCTTGCAAGATGTGTTTTTCCACCTCTAATCATTATCATAGAGGATTAGAGGTTTTATAATAGTCAGAGATCCCAGTTAACCATTACTAACTACTGATGAACAGAGGAGAATCCTGAGTTCTATTTGCTAACTGCTATTGATGAGCTCTATAACATGACACAACATTTGTTTTTGTTTTTATTGGCTGGGGGATAAATCGACACTAGTTAATACTCCTATCCCATTTTATGCGATGCAGTTACTATTTTGAAGAGTCAAAAAACTTGTCCTCTAAATAAAATTTGATTTTGAACTGCATGATTATGTACTTATTATGTATAGTTTTTACACAAAATTTTCCCTTCCGCAGTATGAATGACCAATGCCCACAGCCAACTCAAAAATTAACTAGTTTGACAAACTGAGCAAGCCATACCGTCCTTCTTGGACAAAAGGTCTTAGCTTTTTTTTTGGGTCAAAATAGCACGGTATAGCCAGTTTTCGGATTGGTCATTCAAAAATAGCCACCGTTTACGAAGTCAATGAAAAATAGCCACTATTTTGCTGCAACAGAGACCGATCCCGCATAATATCCGTGAGTTCGGTGCATCTGTGTACGAACTCCAGCACATTATGCTGGACCGGTATACTTTGCTGACTCCTGTATAATATACGGGAGATTGGAGCACCGGTGCTCCAAACTCCAGTATATTATACTGGACATTTATACTTGCTGGAACTCCAGTATATTATGCTGGAGTTCTAGTGTACTTATGCTGGAACTCCAACATATTATGCTGGAGTTCCAGTTCCAGCATAGTTATCCTGGATCTCCCGTATAATATGCTGGAGTTCAAGCATACTTATCGTGAAACTCCAATATAATATACATGCGTATTTTCCGGGTTTTGAACAGTATTTTTGCTCAGATTTGTCTTTACATGAAAAATGGCTAAATTTCGATTACTTTTGAAACTGAACTATTTTTGAATGATCAATTGTAAATCTGGCTATTTTTAAATTTCTCCCTTTTTTTAGTCCATCTCATCTTGAAGTGTAAACACAGATTTATAGGCCGTTTATGCTGACTTTATGTGGAACACATCACGCAGGCATGTCAAATGATTCAAATTTTTTGAGTAAACTAACTTATTTTCTTAATAAGGACCAACTTTTGGCCTTTGGTTGTCGACAATAATTTAAAAAATTTAGAGAAATAAAAATATTTAAAAATGAAGCACAAAACATAATTATATTTTTTGATACATTTTCATACGTTTCTTTCATAATACTTAGCAAGTCTTTAAGAAATTATTTTTAATACTCCCTCTATTCCATATTATGTGGCATTAGAAGAATTAGTTCTTTCCAAAAGAATGACACCTTATATTTGGGAATAATTTAATTTTTTGTAATGTACCCCTAGTGTCATGTTTTTAAATCTTATGGTAGGTTTAAGACTCTTAAGTTCCAAATGTTCCGTCTTTCCTAAATTTCGTGTCAATTCAAACTCCACCACATAAATTGAAATGGACAAAATAATACTTTTAGATTTGTGGAATGTGTTATCATTCGTTTTAAGAATTATATTATCCAACAAGCTGTTTGGTCATTTTTTGTTGCAAAATGAGTTTAGCTACTCAAAACTTAAATAAAATGAAGTAAACCTCTATTATGTCCAAAACGAGAAGAGCGATAACTGTTACAGGAAAAATCTCAAGAAAAAGTAGTTTTACTTGAATCAAAATATAAAAAGCCTTGTGCTTATTCTTTTTTTGGATTGTAGAGTTTAGGGGTATGGTGCCCTACTGGCCTACTCTCTTGGTTTCACTAGTTCATATATATATATATATATAAAGATATATGAGAAACACGTGAAGCAGTGAATTCAATCTGATAATTTGATTTGATGGAGGTTGCAGTCTAATTGTATAACTTCATCAGGATGTTAATATTTTACCAAGGATATTATGACAAACTACTTGTTCAAAATTGTACCTCTCTATGTTGGAGGCATTTGAGATGTTGTATGCATGCTTGGGACTAAATTAAGTTAGTTGTAGTGTTTTAAACATGGAGTATTGCCTTAAGGCTGTTCGCTCGCTGGCTACGGGGATCAAAACGGACTGTGGGTGAGAAAAGGGCAACACTGGTCAAAATGAACTAGTGCTGTGATCGCAGTTAGGGAGCCACGATATTAGTGATTTCCACATGGTATAGCTCAATGCAGAGAAGCTGCGATCGCGACACATGACTCACGATCACGGCAAGCAAGGTCCGGGAGACAATAAGCCCAACCTCAAAATAACGATTGTGAGCCCGGTTGCTGCGATCGCCACTCTATGGGGCTGTTGAGATGAGCTCTTTATAGATTATGGTTGGTGTGTGATTATGCTGTGGCCTGTGGGAATGATGTGAAGGGGATGGATGAATCAAAATTCACCCTAGGTTTCATGAAAATGGTTGGATGACTATGGCCAAGTCCTAAAACATGAATTAGCCTTCCGTTTACTTTAGTTTTACAATAAATCTATACATCCGTATTAACTATCAAGGCTCAAAGCCTACAAAACCTAAAACCTCCTTTGAGAAATGGAGCTAGTTACAAGTTTGAACAGATCCAATTCGTTTTGCATCAACATTTTACATTGATGAAAGGCGAATTTGGAAACAAAATGAAAAAAAGAAAAGGAGAAAAAGCTATCTTCTTAGCTTGCTTGAAGAACTAGAAATTGCCTGCTGCAGATATCTCAGAGTCTTTTGATGATTAAGGAATCCCATAAACCAGAACTCAAAATCATCCTCTGTAACTACTTGTACATACTTCTGTGATGGCTTTTCCATATTTCCACTCTCTTTTGCTTTCTTTATCTTACTTATTGGGATCGATACCTGCAATTATGAACCGGCCTATTTGATTATGCTTTACATGGCTAGAAAATTAGAGATGAAAGGAAAACAGAGCAGATAGGTACCTTGTAACGGATTCTAAGAAAATTTCCAGTTGGAGATAAGAGCTTTATTGATCGCTCGCTGCAGAAAGCAATCTTATCTGTAGAGATGAAGAGAAGGCCTGCTATTGGACCAGCTGTTGTTGATAAATAGCATTGAGAAACCTTCAATAGCTTTTCATCATCTCTAACATTAAACTTCTGTTTGAATATTCTCTCCAACCCTCCTACTTGAAGAATTTTTGCCCCTAGGCTCAATTTTCCCTTCACAATTTCTGTTAGCTTTGGGCTCAGGCTCACTGCGCAATTAAAGGATATTACAATCAATACTTTATAACAGATATACATGTAAATAATGCTTCTTGCATGAATTTTGCACTTCATGACTCACTTTATCTGTGTTCTTTAGATTTACACTAGTGTTTGGCCATGACTTCACATAGCGAAATTTTTAGCATTTGAAATACAGGTGAAATGTTGAAACAAATTTGTCTGAGTAGCATTTCAAGTAAGATAATTGTTTTCACTCACAAAACTTTTTTTTTTTTTGAGAGCGGTAACACAAAACATGAATTTTTTTTCAAGCAGAACTCATGTCCGCGCTCAATTTCAACTTCCAAATACTCTTTTTCAACTTCAGCTGCAAATACTTTTTTATTTCAACTTACACTATTGTCTTAGTAATATTTTCAATTAATCTTTTGAAGTCTTTAATGGAGAATATAAGTGCTTACCATGCTCACGGATGCCTTGTGCAAGACAGTCCATCTTTTCTCCGAATTTGTTCATCTTACCAATAACAGATTTTCCTGCACATTCAAGAATATTTTTATTTTTATGATCTCTTCATTCTAGGGTCACACGACAAGATCAAGTTGATTCTTCATCAAGAGACAGGGGAAATACTCACTTTGCTTTATTTTAGATAAGTTTTTTGAAGTTGCATATGGAATATTATGGTCTTCACTTGCAGATAGAACCAGTAGTCTTTTTGGCTGCCTTTCAAGTGAGCATACTGCTGAACTCATGGGAATACCCACCACAGTTCCACTGAGTAAGTTCTTCATTGTGATTCTGATTTTGCGGTCGAATATTGTTGGATTGTGATATATTTAAGTTTTGGTTGATGGTTTAAGAACATTCCTTGTAGCATTATATATAGGGGTTTGAGGAGGAGTTGATGAATCTTTTAACTGATTGTTGCATGAGTCAGCTATGGGTCATAAAAATAACCAAATAAAGATCATGCGTGTGCTTTTTAGAATTTTCTTTTATACGAAGAAGAAAAAGGTTGTCAGGATGATATCTTTTTGTTGATTGAAATTTTCAAAAACCAAATTGCAGTGCATGTTCAACCTCTCCCTTTAATTTATTTTTTTAATCCTTTTGCTTGCATCAGTCCATCAATATATATCTTTTTCTCTTGCTCCTAAAGGTATTGAAAATGTCTTCTTTTAGCTGTCTGCTCAATTACAGTAAACTAATGTCATTGCTGACTTATTTCTTTATCAAGATTTCTGTGCATATATGGTGTGTTTAACTTTTGAGTTGGCAAATTGCTTTATGATGCTACCTACTTTTGTAAGTTTGAGCAAAAGTAGGAGAGTTTTGCATATGGAAGTCATCTTGTGGTAACTAGTAAGGTAGCTTAATTCACCCTAATGACTTTACTTCTTTTCCATACAAATCGATTTATCATTTTTATATAGACTAGTCTCTCGGCAAGGCACGTGCATTGCACATGTATGTCAAGTCATATATTATATAATTTTTGTAATAATAGCAATATTATAAAAACAAAGATTTGAATAAATAAATATACATAACTAATAAAATATAGTTTTTATGAACAATCACATAAAACACTGACCTTTTGTAAACTTCGTAGATTTTATCGAATCTTATGCACATCATTCTTCATCTTGATTCTAAACAACTATTTTCACTCATACTCATCCCGCTAGGACTTCATATGTCTAAAATATCATATTAATACCCATTTAACATATCCACACCTAGTCCAAATGTACGGGGTGTTACATTAGACCAACATTCAAGCAAGGTTTAAGTCTGCTGTGAGTTCATTGTAAACAAAATCTTGCACATTAAGTAAGTTACTCTAAGCATTGTCTAGTACTCCATATGAATGATGGTTGACTTGAATGGAGAGACTCATCCCTTTGTAAATTCGAGTAACTACATATATCCATAGTGCACATTTTTAATTAGTTGTTTGTAGGTGTTAGGCTTTGTTTTAAGATTTTTTAGCAACAACAAAAAAAGGTTTTCTTTTAAGAGTTGTGACTATTGATGTGAAGAATTTAAAAGTGTTAAAACTTAGAAACAGGTTTCTTCTGAATAGGCGCCTGATGGAAAGTTGCGTTTCCTTGTAGGCTTTAGTTTTTTTATTTATATTTAAAAAAACTATTTATAGGTTAATTAAAGGATACTTTGGTAATTTAACTTTTGTCTGAAGGGCTTCCCACTTTTAATAGATAAGGATTTATGAGTAAGCATTTGTTTAAACTAAAATTAATAGTTTTGACTCTCTAGAGGGATGTTGTTATAGCTCTGAACTTGAAATTGCTAGTAGGAGTGACCTGTCTTTAACTCTTTATTGAGAAGCACATTGTTTCTGTTAGGCTAGCTGTCGTAACTTAACTGTAATCTATATCTACCTAATTAATATCCCCTCCAGTTTCCCTTAATTCTAAAGTTGGTCAAAATTCTTTCTTATCATTACAAAATCCTTGAGGTAAACAGGCTTTATAAACAAAATCCTAGAGGTGAACAGGCTAGAAAAAGCCTTTTTGAATATTCAAAAGTATACAAAATTATCTCTTTTAAAAGCTTTTAGTGCATTGTAAAATTATCTCAAGTTAGTTTGATTAGTTTTATGTGATTAACTAGATGAGGTAGGCCCGAGCTTGCGGGCCCAACGTTGCAAATTGTTTGCAAATTGTGAATAAGATTTTAGAACTGGTAGGATTTTATGTTATTTCTGTGTAGCTATGCATATTTCTTTTCCAAAGTGGGATGGTTATTTGCCATCTTTTGCCCAACAAAAGACACCAAATTGAAAAACTACTATAACATAGAAAGGATTAACGAAATATTCATATTGCAAGTGGGAGAGAATTTCTAATCTCTTACAGTGATCGGAACCAATAAAATTGGAAGTTTACAACAACAAAGTGCAGGAAACATGTACTGGGTCACTGAAAAAATATAATCACTTGCTCAACATAATCTTAAGAGTTTCATGATTTTGTTTTGGTAGGTAAATACAACGTTTTATTGCACGTTAAACTACTTAAGAAATGCAGGTCGGGATTGTATTCCATATATTTCTGAGATGTTCTTTACTTTCTTGCCCATCCAGCAATAGTTACTTCTATAAATCCAAGACCATGCAATAAAGCTAGGAAACAATGGTACATGGAAGAAAAAATGGACTTCAGCTTCCTCTAAGCACACGTAACATCTTAAGCATATGATTTCACTAGCATGTGGGAGGTTTGCTCGAGTTAGGTCATTATGACATGTAGTCCACTCCAAGAAAATTAACTCTGGTGCTGCTTTGCTTTGCCAAATACACCTCCAAGTTCTTGTTCCAAATGAGTCAGTAGTTTTAAACAGATAACAGGACTTTATCAACTGAGAAAAAATTGTAGGTATTTCTATTCCATTTAACAGAATCAGGTTCACTACATCACTACGTAGAGAGCCCGACTGCTTCAAGAATTTCTGTAAAAGACGAAGTTCTTTCTATTCTCTATTTACTGCAGTTTCTCTTGAAAGCAAATTCCTACCCTAATTAATCTTGCATCGAGCAATGGTTCTATCTAAATCTGCCACCATTTCTTGTAACAAGATCAATAAGTAATTATGGATTAAAAAAAATCCATCTCAGCAACAATTCCATGTAAGAATACTTTTACATTTTATGTCTGAAAAGATAAAAATTTAGAAGATTTCTCACTAATGTATAACTTAGAAATATGTAAAGCTATAAAGTTGAAAGTAAAACTGAAAGAGAGAGTTCTTAGTACATAGAAAAGTATAAAAGGTTGAATAAATGAATACAAAATATTTTTTTATAGAAAAGAAGGACCAGAAGCATAAGGGATGATGAAAACAAGAGATACATGATTTGACCAATCAGAGGACAAAGAAGTGCAGAAGAAATTGTAAAGCAAGAAATAACCAATTCCAAGTTTTAAGAAAGAAGCTTTGACAACATTACATTAGATGCAGAAACTATAGGTTATGCCAAATATATAGAAGCACTTATCAAAATTAAGAATGAATGCCAAAAATATGTAATCGCTTTCAACTCCGCACTTCAAGAAGGAAGAGATGCAAATTCAACTTGCATAAACTTGAAAATAGTAGTTAAAAGAGGATTTTCCCTTCGTTTGATTGAAAGGAAGGATCTAAGATTTGAGAAATAGTCTTGCAAATTTGGCCTACATTTGTTAAGTCCACATTTGACAAAAGTTTTAAGTACTTGCAATGTTTACCAATTTAGACAACTGATTTTTTTTAAGAAGTCACAATTTCATTTATAAATTAAACAACAACACAAGCAATACAGTTCATGAAGTATGAAGCAAATCTGCAGTTGAGCTAGAAGAAAACCACACAAATCGTAATTGATCCAAAAATAAAAGCATTTCTCTGAAGGCACCAAAATAGCAAGGAATGGTAGAAAATTAGAGTAGACAACAATAATCTCCTTCAAGAAAAAAATAAGATAAGGAAAAAGCACTGGCTCCTATTTTTTTAATGGGTAATCATCCCCTAAACGGATATTTTTGTCAATGCTATACTGATAAATTAGTAGTGTATATTTTTAATGCTTTTCCTTGAAGAGAAAAAGATACAAAAGGGGAAAATAAGAAGATAGAAAGAGCTTTAAGGAAGATAATTGTGATTGTTTCTGTTCTTCGAAACCCCCAGCGATAGAAAGTTATCTATGAAACTCATTTAAAGACAGTTTGGAAAATATTGTACAACGAAGAAAAAATGCCATGTAGCTAAGAGCTTAAAATAATAGATAGGCTTAAAATAAGAGCCAAGGAGAAAGCTTTTTAGACAGACTTGTAAGTCAGCCAAGCAAAGTGCCTCACGAATAATATTAAGAGAGCTTTCCTTGCTATCCACATTTTACCTCAGATTAGAAAGGATACACAATCTTAAAATCAAGCATGAAGTTTTTTGTTCTTTCAAGTATTAAGAATTCCAAAACACTTCTTAACATTATAAATTGGGAAATATAAACTGAATTCCTATCAAATCATGGTTTGGCGACCTCAAGTTTCATGACAAAAGTTGCTCACACTCAAATACAAAGATTCTTGGTGTACTACTCTTTTCTTCATATGAAAATTTGGTCTTTGTATCTAAATATTAAAGTGTTGCTGTGTACACACAAACATAAAAAAATATTGTAGAATGTCTTAGCTTTTGTGCTTAATTTCTAGCATCGTATACAAAATTTAGTTATTTCATTTTGAAATGGCGAGGGTTTTGTAGGCATTGGGAGAAAATTAAAATATGCCAATAATAGACATTTTAGAAATCAGAAAGAATGCTAACATTTCGTTACATTTAAAATTTTGTAAATAATCTATCTACAAATAAGCCTATGAAAAAAATTATTATAGGGTTGGTACAGTGAAGTACTATACATTGCATCGCATGAAGCCATAATTAAAGCAATATTTACTTTCACATGCAGTAAAAGAAATAAATTACCCACAAAATATGGTTAAAGACCTGAAACAAAGATACTACGTGATGTCTTGCTTGTGGAATGGCGACAAGATGACTAAAATAACACAATTATAATAGTACAATAATAACAAATACGATCGATTCATTTTACTGAGCTGGCGTCTTAATATTGCATAAACACATTGCACTGTGCTTATATTTTTCGCATACCCAGTTTCTCTTTATGCGTTGTTTGAGGATTGATAGTTGAAATAGACCAAGAAAATAGTTAAAACGGATAGCATGAATATGTGCAACTATCCATTTAGGATCATAAAGTATTTCCTAACATAACAGAAAGGATAAGAGGAGATAGTACGTATTTCTTCTTGAAACATAAAAAAGTAAACAAGGATTTCCATTTTTATTCTGCTAAGCTTCAAAATTTACCTTAGCAACTCTTATTCCAACACAGTTCTACAAGAATAAATATAGCGGCATCCTTGATGCCTGCAACGAAAAATATTTCAGCTAATTACTCATTTAAAATGACCAAAGCCTTTAATCCGTCAAAAGATAAAGGAGACAAAAAAATATCAAAACTAAAGAGCACTTTAATGGAATTCAGCATACGCTCGCAACCCATTTATAAATACCACAACCTCTTATGTCTCAAAGATAATGGAGACTGAATAAAAAGGATTCGACCTAGAACTAACAGTAAGTACTTTTCTTCTTTCTCATGATTTGGGAGCTTAGTCCATATCATTTCAGGATGATATGTCAATTAAACATTGCAGTGGACAAAACTAACAGTTGGCTAAATGTAAACGTTTGTTAAATGTTGTCTGATTAAAATCTCCATATGGTGAGTGTTTTCAACCATGTCACTACAATATTGATGAACAAATTCCCATATCAACATGTTCATATTCAACATAAAGAGTTAGTTCCAGAATTTGTCACATGCGTGTCTTAGGAAATCAACTAAAAGTCATTATATTATGTTTAATAACCCAATGATGTTAGACTTGCAGCAAGGTATGTGCCACACCTCTAGACAACATTACACCATAAGACATTAGAAGAAGTCATCAAAGGTTTCATTAGCAAACTTAACATATTTAGCAACCTATAATATGGGTCCAATGTAAAAAAAAATAGAGAACAAGAAAAAACGAAAGAAAGAAAAGAAACAAGCAATAGAGGTAGTCCTAGATAAATACATTAGAACAAAATCAAGGAAAGCAGCATTGATGCAATGCGGATTGCCAGTACAACTATTGATCGTTCTAGTAAGCCACAACACACTAATGAAAAGATACCTACCTCTAAGATGCAGGATATCACTTCTTTTGATGGTAGCATAATGATACACCAATTGCATGGAAAATGTAAGTCCTGTAAATACAAAGATTAGTTAAAAATATTCATATGCACATTCATATAATACTAAAAGATAGAAGAGCACATGCCAATAAATATTCATATCTTTGCATAGATTACAAAAATTATGATGCTCAACTATACCACATCCATTAACTGCTCGTCATCAGAGCTCAAGTATCAACGAAACCCCTTTCATTCCATTTCAGATAAGATTTAAACATGTCACATGTGCCCAATAAAGATTGGATTTTTATAGGGTTTAAATGAAAATATATGAGAAATATCCAGAGACTACAGACTTTGATTTCTAATCTAAGAATACCTTAAGGTGAGAATCCTAAAAAAATTTACCACTAAATCAACTAAGCAGCCTGAAGAATAGAAAAAAGCACCGAAGAAAGTTGAGAAACACTCCAAAACAAAAAGCTCACACTTATAAGAAGCGAAGGAGAACTCTGAAGTTGAGCAATAAACGTATCACAAGAGAACAAGGGCTAAAAGGGATACCTGATGAGCAGCGGATATTTGAAGAGAGTGACATGAAATTCAGCAGCATTTGTTTCCTTAAAATTCAGTCTTGCACAATACTAAATATTCTTTGCCTAATAGTAACCAAAAATTAGCAAAGCAATCAGAAATTCGATAAATTGCACATGACCTAGAAGCTATTTTCCCCAAAATAAGACCTTCACTAATTCTATATTCTTTAGAATATGGAATGAACAAGGACATAGAAGAGAGAATGAACGAATATATTAAGAAAGTAGTGTTTCAGAAAGCTAGGGAGAGTTCTAGAGTTTTGTGTCAGCTATATTGTTAATTAAAACAGTTTTAAACCTAAAAGAATAATGGCAGAGCAAAATGTCATTTATGCCCTTGGTCGACCATCAAGCCTTTTCTATATAATAATAAAAATAAAAATAATAATAATATAGTATAATAGATAGAAAAAAGTTGACAAGATAACAGTTCAGTGGATCACCACCACTTGACTCAAGTTCCCTTTTGAAACATGAGCGAGTCATCCATTTAGAATTGTTGCTTAATAAATCAGGCAAAGGAGAAAAGTAGTTGTTATCATCTCAAAAAAAAAAAAAAAAAGAAGTAGCCATTCAGATATTTCAATCTGTTATGTAGGGTCAGCAATTCTGGTGGTTGTCTGGATTTGTATAGTGTCTGTTTTTAAGGCAGTTATCTTGCTTTGTTTTTTTTTTTTGTATCTCATCTTGAGGTGTAAAGGAAGGATAGGCATTCCTGCCAACTCTATGTGGAATGCATCTCGCACAGACATGTGATTTAAATGTTTTCAGTAAACTAACTTATTTCTCTGTAGTTTGACCAACAATACTTTGAAATATCTATAGAAATAAAAAAATTCAAAATGAGGCACAAAAAATAACAATATTTTCTGATGCATTTTTCAGATGTTTCTTTCAAATTACTTAGCAAGTTGTTTTAAATACTCCCTCTATTCCATATTATGTTGCATTATTGTTAGTCTGTTTCAAAAAAATGACATATTTTATTTTGAAATAATTGAACTTAAAAAATTTCATTTTATCCTAAAAGGCAATATGCTTTTATAAATCTTATGGTAGGTTTAGGACTACCAAAAGTTCTTCTTTCTTAAACTTCATCTCGACTGTTGAGTCAAATTCCACCACATAAATTGGCCTAGAGAGAATAACATTTGTAGAGTTTTGCAATGTGTTTTCATTCGTTTTCGAATTATGCTATCCAACAAGCTAGTTGAACATTTTTTCGTCGGAATATGAGTTTAGTTACGCAGAACTTAAATAAAATGAAGTGAACCTTATTATGTGCAAAACGAAGAGCATACATGTTACAGGAAAAAAATCTCAAGAAAGGTATTATAATCTATCTCTCTATATTATTATAAAAACACGAATAATTTATGTTAAATGTTGGATGACTAAAATATTCTCGAAACTTCGATAAACTTTTATGCCCTTAAAATTTTGAGTTAAAGGTGGATGTAATTGTAATATTCCAAATATATTAACTAAGAAAGGAATTCTTTACAGATTAAAACTCCAATGCCGACAGCAAATTCCTACTCTACAAATACCTAGAACTTTTAATACATTGGTAAAGATGGAAATAATTATGAATTTGGATAAACTTACTATACTTGTCATTACGATATACAACTTGTATAAAAACTAGTATTAAATATTATTGCATTCTTTAACCGATTTATAAATTTATTCGTATCTTGTGTAATTTTAAACTATTTAGTTCCATTTTGTTATTTGGTAATCACTGTTGCGGAAGCCAAATGTATATAGTGTGAATAAGTCACAACTACTATACCAAAATTATGACAGCCACCAAATAATAAATAAGACAATAAAGCAACAATAAAGGGAACACCAGAATTTACGAGGTTCGGCTAATTTTGCCTACTCCTCGGACACAACCAATATTTTATTCCACTCCAAAAATACAAGTGAAATAATACTAAAGAGAGAAGATACAAATGCCTTAAACAGATGAGAAGGCAAATGAGAGGTGTGTTTCAATCCTAAACATTAGGCCTTCTTTTATAGGGGAAAAATCCCCCCCAAACTTAACTCCCAACCAATGTGGGACTTTGGCATTTTGCCAAACTTCAACAATCACAACGTTATTGTGATTTGGTTTGCATTACATATATAAAACTTTTATTTTAAGCAACTCATTATCTAACTTTAGCAATTACTTATGGTACGTATTTGTAATATTTGACACAAGATATTTGTGCAATGCAGTATAGAGACTAGTACTATATTAAAAGTGGGAAGCCCTTAAGTCAAAAGTTAAATTATAGAAATGCCCCTTAAAAATCTAACCCTATTTAATAATAAGTGCATCAAATTCAAGTTTTGGGTGTTATCATTATTTAAGTAATGGTCTACGTCACTTGCATGATGAATGTGGATTATAGGATATGAATTATAGGGATGCATTTATAGAGAAGATTAAGCGTTTCAACCAGAATTGTAAGCGCAAACTTCACAAATTGTACCGTGAAAAAAAATAAGAAATGTATAGAAGACAAAAAATAGAATGCCCTAATGTGCTGGACACTTTCTATGGATTGGGCAAAATATTTTAGCAGAAAAGTCATGGAGGTTTATCTAAATCTGTCACAACACGAAACAACAATTGATTGTGAGAAGCAAAAAAAAGAAAAAGATTTTGATCTCTTTGTCCCCAAATCAACGTGACAAATGGTGCAGCCAAGAAAAACTTAAAATTCAAGGTGAACAAAAAAACGCTACAAAAATCAAGTTCTATATTTTCTCTACTTATTTATCTTCCTTTATCTTTTCTAATGTTGAGAAACTTATTTTCATAAATGTTTGGATAATGACAACTCTTGTAATAAACGTTAAATGCATATTTGTTGTGTTTAGGAATGACATTAGTTAATGCTATAGTTAACTTTGTTATTTCATTGCTACAATGAGATCCACTAATAACGTAACATATTATGGTTACATGCATAAAAATTATATATGTGGAAGTTTACTTTAACTTGTGGGATGATATGAAGCAATTTTATTTGGAAAATCATACATGTAAATCACGAGAATGAATAAAACTTTCATTTGGATATTATTTGGGATCATGAGAAGAAACAATTAAACTTTGATTGTTTCTTTTCGTAGGATTAGATGATATCCAATTATTTAACCTCGATAAAATGTCATTATACGATGATTCACATTAATTGTTATCAGAAACTTATACTTATTCTTTCACGTATAATTATTTACTCAAAACTTTTAATAATATTTATATTGTATTATTTTACAAAAGCGTGGACTACATAACTTGCCATACACGATAATAATTATTCAGAAACTTGTATTTATTCTATCACATATAACTATTTACTCAAAGCTTTATTTCAAAATATTTATATTAAATTATTTTACAAAAGCGTATATTATATAACTTGACATACACATGTAACGCATGTGACGAGAAACTAGTTAAATTAAAATATTGTAAGGCTTATGCTTTTTTTTTTTTTTTTTTGGATTCTAGGGGTTAGGGGTATGGTATCCTACTCTCTTGGTTTCACTACATATATGAGAAGCACAGTGAATTCAATCTGATAATTTGATTTGATTGAGGTTGCTTCCTAATTGTTATAACTTCATCAGGATGTTACTATAATAATGAACTTGTTTTTTTTAATTTCTTTATGTGCATTCATATGTCTATGATGTGCAAGTGTTATATGTATTTGTTGAAATCTATCTATGTTGGAGGCATTTGAGATGTTGGATGCATGCTTCGGACTACATTGAGTTAGTTGGATGGTGTGGGTGTTTAAAACACGGCTATAAGTGTTGCCTTAAGGCTGTTCGCGCGCTCTACGGGGATCAAAATGGACTGTGGGTGAGAAAAGGGCAACACTGGTCAAAATGAACTGGTGCTATGATCACAATTAGGGAGCCGCAGTCACAACATTAGTGATTTCTGCATTGTAACAAAGGAAGTTGCGATCACAACACATGATTCACGATCTCAGCAAGGCAAGCTCTGCGAGGCAGTAAACCCAAGCTCAAAGATGCGATCGTGAACCCGGTTGCTACAATCGCCACTACTATGAGGCTGCTGAGATATTGAGCTCAGCTTCATAAATTGTGAAAACGGCCCCAAGGACCACTTATCACAGCTTTCTTCCTAGGATCTCAAATATTCAGTGTTAAAATCAGCCGATCACTGCACAAGGCCTGCGATCGTAGCAAAGGTATTTCATACCTACAACCATAAATTTTATCATTTTCTCGACTCCCCCACCGCAAACTCAGTCCATGAAGATGAAATCACTTCCCACTTCTTCTCAATATCAAGGTAGCTCGAATTTAACTTGGTTTAAGCTATTCCTACTATAATACCACTTGATTTAACTCTCAAATCATAGATTTTTGGTTGGATTCCCTATTCTGCCAAATTTCACCCAGGTATACTAGGGTTTGAACTATGGAGGTAGTTTGAGATATTTGACTCTACCCAACTATTTTATAGACTTTATAGTTTATGGGTGGCGTGATTATGCTATGAGAATGATGTGAAGGGGTCGGATGAATCAAGATTCACCATAGATTACCATGAAAATGGTAGCATGACTATGGCCAAGTCCCAAAAGATGGATTAGCCTTCCATTTGCATTGGTTTTACAACAAGTCTATACATCCGTATTAACTATTAACTCCTAAGGCTCAAAGCCTACAAAACCTAAGACCTCCTTTGAACAATGGAGCTAGTTACAAGTTTGAACTGATCTGTAAATTCGTTTCTGCATCAACATTTTACATTGATGAATGGGCGAATTTGAAACAAAATGAAAAAAAGGAGAAAAAACTATCTTCTTAGCTTGTTTGAAGAACTTGAAATTGCCTGCTGTAGATATCTCAGTGTCTTTTGATGATTAAGGAATCCCATAAACCAGAACTCAAAATCATCCTCTGTAACTACTTGTATATACTTCTGTGATCGCTTTTCCATATTTTCACTCTCTTTTGCTTTCTTTGTCTTACTTATTGGGATCGATACCTGCAATTGTTTATTGGTCTATTAGATTATGCTTTACATGGCTCGAATAGAGATGCAAGGAAACCAGAGCAGAGGGGTACCTTATAACGGATTCTAAGCAATTTTCCAGTTGGAGATAAGAGCTTTATTGATCGCTCACTGCAGAAAGCAATCTTATCAGTAGAGATGAAGAGAAGCCCTGCCATTGGACCAGCTGTAGTTGATAAATAGCATTGAGAAACCTTCAATAGCTTTTCATCATTTCTAACACTAAACTTCTGCTTGAATATTCTCTCCAACCCTCCTACTTGAAGTATTTTTGCCCCGAGGCTCAATTTTCCCTTCACAGTTTCTGTTAGCTTCGGGCTAAGGCTCACTGCACAATTAAAGTTGAAACATTAACTTCATTACAATCAATACTTTCTATCGTATATACATGTAAATAGTGCTTTTTTGCATGGTTTTGTACATCATGACTCACTTATCTGTGTTCTTTAGATTTACATTCTTTCATTTGGCCATGCTTCACTTGCAACTACTGAAATCATTATATGCAAGCTGAAGTTTGATTACCAGTATTTCCAATATTGAAAAACTTGTTTGATGAGTATGTCAAGTGAAAATTGGTTTTAAGACACTATACATCAATTTTTTCCCCAGGTTCGTTCATGCCCGAACACAACTGAATCAAATACTCTTTTGCATCTTCAATTTCAACTACTTTTTTTTTATTTTAACTATAGAAGTGCTTACCATGTTCGCGAATGCCTTGCGCAAGATAGTCCATCCTTTCTCCCAGTTTGCTCATCTTACCAATCACAGATTTTCCTGCATATTCAAGAATATTTTTATCTTTAAGATTTCTTCATTCAAGGGTCATTAATACTCAGTACTAGTACAAGAACAAGTTGATTCATCAAGAGACAACGGAAATACTCACTTTGCTTTAATTTAGATAAGATCTTTGAAGTTACAAATGGAACAATATGGTCTTGGCAAGAAGATAGGGATAGTAGTCTTTTTGGCTGCCTTTCAAATGAGCATACTGCTGAATTCATTGGAATATCCACCACATCTCCACTGAGTAAGTTCTTCATTGTGATTCTGATTCTGCAGTGGAATATTGCTGTATTGTGAATTGTGATGGTCAGTGAGAAATATTTAAGTTTTGGTTGATGGTTTAAGAACATTTCTTGTAGGGGTTTGAGGAGAAGTTGATGAATCTTTTTACTAATTGTTGCATGAGTCACCTTTGGGTCATCAACAACCATAAAAGATAATGCATGTGCTTTTTTAGAATTTTCTTTTGTACCAAGAAGAAAAGGTTGTCTAGAAGATGGAATGTTGGCTGAGATTTTCAAAAGTTTCAGTGTCTTCCATAATCTTTTTGTAAATTGTAATTTGAAATATTCAAAATCTAAGTGCAGTGCATGTTCAACCTCTCCTTTCTTTTCTTTGTTTTCCCTTTGCTTTGTGTCCATCTCTCTCTATATATTATCTCTCTCTCTCACGCACACATAAAGGTGGTGTCCAGTTCAGTTGGTGGGCACCTCAACTATTCCTTCGGTTGGTACCTGCGACCTCCATCAACACAAGTTCTAAGTAATGCTACTCACCAAAACTAAGGTAGATGAGATGAAATCACCTAGTGTTTTTAGTGTTTGCTGTGAATTAAACCCTGGTCTCTCATAGTTTTAATCTATGTCTTACTGTGCTGCGTAGGTTTTGAAAATGTCTTTCTTTTAGTTGTCTGGGCAATTACAGTAAACTAATCTCATTGCTGACTAATTTTGTTATCAAGATTTGGGGGCACATGTGGTGTTTAAACTTTTGAGTTGGCAGATTTGCTTTGTCATGCAACCTACTTTTGCAAGTTGAGTAAAAGTACGAGTAACCTATGTATTTTGAAGTCATCTTATCAATACCTAAAAGACCTTTTGTACTTTTCTATGCATATCGACTCATAAATTCCATTCGTGGGCCACATTTCTCTATAGTCGCATGTAATATTTGTTTTTCTAACCATAATCTTATTTAGTTTCTTCTAAAACTTAGAATTTCACTTGGTATTATCATATGGCACTTCTTTATGGCTCTGAGTTGATAATCTTTTATATGTAAAAGGATTTAATAAGCATTTAGTTTAAATAAAACTAATAGTTTGACTTCATACAGGGATATTGTTATGGCTCTGAAGTTGAACCGTTTTGCTGAGAAGCAAGTTGTTCTGGTTGGATTGTTACATTCGGTAAAACTTACCTGCACACGGTATTTACAACAATCCAACGAATATATGACACACGTCTTCACATATGTTGTTATAGTTAAACCGTATCCTTACCTCAAAGTTGCTATTCAAAGATTTCAATCTGTGGGTAGGGCCAGCAGATCTTGTGCTTGTCTGGATTATATTAACTTCTCTTTTAAGGCAGCAGTTACCTTATCTTGAGGTGTAAAGGCAGATCTGTAGGCCATTTTATGTCGACCTTACGTTGAACACACCACGCACGCATGACAAATGATTTGAAATTCTTGAGTAACCTAACTTCTTGCTCCATAATTTGACCAACCTTTCCTGTTGGATGACAATACTTTGAAAATTCCTTTTTTGATGACCGAGAAATCCGTCTGGGGCTGATCCTTTGGACCAACCGCAGCCTTCGAAACTCGGTGGATAATGGGCCCGCCCCTCTACCCTTCTCCACTTAAATACCAGGCTTTGTTTTGCATGGTGTGGGGGCTTGAACCTGTGACCTAAGATACAAATCCACCACCCTTTGAAGATTCTAAAGAAACAAAAAGTATTTAGAGATGAATTTTATGCACAGGAAATAGTTATTAATTCATAATTTTATAGATCTTATAATTATTTATTTTCGACCATGGGGACTTGGGAGATGAGTACCCTGTTCTCTTATGTCAGTACTGGATAGATATATACACATGAACATGTATATAGATATATGTATAACCAACTAGGGCTGTGATGGAGTGGTAAGTACTTTGTCATCCTTAATTGGATGTTTCGAGTTCGAGCTCTGGATGTAGANCATAAATTGTGAACACGGCCCCAAGGACCGCAATCACAGCTTTCTTTCTGGGATCTGAAATCTTCAGTGTTGCGATCAGTAGCATTCTTGGGACATATTCTGGGCGATACAGTAGCATTCTTGGGCGGTGCGTTGTTCGCCTTGGATACTGAATATTCCCCATGGAGTAGGGAACTTGATTACCTGATAGAGGCTCGATGGTATGGCCCTCATGGAGTGTATCCATGGGTGCCCTATGATGGCATTGTAGGTTGTTTCTTGGTTCATGACGTGGAATGTTGTTTCCAGGGTAACACCCCTGGCCAAAACGGGTAGTGTTATCTCCCCAGAGGTTCGCTCAACTGCATTGTTAAAACCTGTTAGTGTTATGCAATGCGGTATTATCTTGTCGTCGAGTCTCATTTGTGCGAGGACTCGAGGGTGGATGATACACGCGCCGCTTTCGGCATCTACCATTATTCTTCTTACATTAGTGTCTAAGATACGTAAAGTAATAACAAGAGCATCAAAATGAAGGAAAGTCAAACCGTCAGTATCCGACTTATCGAAGGTGATACTATCTCCAAGGTCGTCGTACTATTCGTAGGTGATTGACCGCTTCAGTTTGTGCGTAGTGGTGAACTTCACATGGTTAATCGTTGCTTCATCGCCCCGACCGATGATCATTTGGATGGTGCGAGCGGGCGAGGGTGGCTTTGGAGGTCCCTGGTGTTGTTCGCATCCGCGGGCAAAATTGGCTCATCCACGATCGCTCATCAATTCCCTCAGGTAACATTGGTTTAACATTCTCACTATATCTTGCCGCAGCCCTATGCAGTCCTCGATTTTGTGACCCCGCTCCTCGTAAAATTCGTAGAGGACGTTTGACTTCCTAGTATTTGGATCAGACTTCATCTTTTGTGGCCATTTCACCTTCGTGCTGAGCTTCTCCAGTGCGTACACTATTTCTGAAGGGGAAACACAAAAATTGTGAGCGGACGCTGAGTCCCTGTGTGCGGCCTAGGCGGCCCTTCCGTGTGCCGAGGTGGTGGGACGGTCGTTCTGATGTAGGACTGATGTCTTTCTCGGCTGAGATGAGGGCTTGACTGATCCCTTCGACTGTCGTTACGATGATCTTTCCTCGATTTTGCTTGAACTGACATCAGCCATTGTGTCGGACTATTGAGGTCGTCCTCGTCGGTTCTCACCTCGGCGCAATAGGCATTGTGGATTTCTTCCTAAGTGGTGGGAGGGTATTTTATGAACGTGCTTAACTCATTCTCACCCTGTTAAACTGGGCGAGGAAGTCACTGAGTCCTTTGCCAAGAAATTTCCTAGCAGAGAATATACGGTTGTTTGACGAATCGGCCAATGTCTCGTTTAGGTAGCAACTTCGAGGCACCCGGTATCTTATCAACCCTTTCTTGATGATCCTTCATCTAATCACGGAGTGCCTTGTTTTCGTTTTCCATATCTTCCATTTTCTTGAGAATGGCTACGAGTGCATCATTACCTGCATCAACAATGGTGTAAGTTTTACCTANGTTGCTGCAATCGCCACTCTATGAGCTGGCTGAAATATTGAGCTCAACTTCATAAATTGTGAACACGGCCCCAAGGACCGCAATCACAGCTTTCTTTCTGGGATCTGAAATCTTCAGTGTTGCGATCAGTAGCATTCTTGGGACATATTCTGGGCGATACAGTAGCATTCTTGGGCGGTGCGTTGTTCGCCTTGGATACTGAATATTCCCCATGGAGTAGGGAACTTGATTACCTGATAGAGGCTCGATGGTATGGCCCTCATGGAGTGTATCCATGGGTGCCCTATGATGGCATTGTAGGTTGTTTCTTGGTTCATGACGTGGAATGTTGTTTCCAGGGTAACACCCCTGGCCAAAACGGGTAGTGTTATCTCCCCAGAGGTTCGCTCAACTGCATTGTTAAAACCTGTTAGTGTTATGCAATGCGGTATTATCTTGTCGTCGAGTCTCATTTGTGCGAGGACTCGAGGGTGGATGATACACGCGCCGCTTTCGGCATCTACCATTATTCTTCTTACATTAGTGTCTAAGATACGTAAAGTAATAACAAGAGCATCAAAATGAAGGAAAGTCAAACCGTCAGTATCCGACTTATCGAAGGTGATACTATCTCCAAGGTCGTCGTACTATTCGTAGGTGATTGACCGCTTCAGTTTGTGCGTAGTGGTGAACTTCACATGGTTAATCGTTGCTTCATCGCCCCGACCGATGATCATTTGGATGGTGCGAGCGGGCGAGGGTGGCTTTGGAGGTCCCTGGTGTTGTTCGCATCCGCGGGCAAAATTGGCTCATCCACGATCGCTCATCAATTCCCTCAGGTAACATTGGTTTAACATTCTCACTATATCTTGCCGCAGCCCTATGCAGTCCTCGATTTTGTGACCCCGCTCCTCGTAAAATTCGTAGAGGACGTTTGACTTCCTAGTATTTGGATCAGACTTCATCTTTTGTGGCCATTTCACCTTCGTGCTGAGCTTCTCCAGTGCGTACACTATTTCTGAAGGGGAAACACAAAAATTGTGAGCGGACGCTGAGTCCCTGTGTGCGGCCTAGGCGGCCCTTCCGTGTGCCGAGGTGGTGGGACGGTCGTTCTGATGTAGGACTGATGTCTTTCTCGGCTGAGATGAGGGCTTGACTGATCCCTTCGACTGTCGTTACGATGATCTTTCCTCGATTTTGCTTGAACTGACATCAGCCATTGTGTCGGACTATTGAGGTCGTCCTCGTCGGTTCTCACCTCGGCGCAATAGGCATTGTGGATTTCTTCCTAAGTGGTGGGAGGGTATTTTATGAACGTGCTTAACTCATTCTCACCCTGTTAAACTGGGCGAGGAAGTCACTGAGTCCTTTGCCAAGAAATTTCCTAGCAGAGAATATACGGTTGTTTGACGAATCGGCCAATGTCTCGTTTAGGTAGCAACTTCGAGGCACCCGGTATCTTATCAACCCTTTCTTGATGATCCTTCATCTAATCACGGAGTGCCTTGTTTTCGTTTTCCATATCTTCCATTTTCTTGAGAATGGCTACGAGTGCATCATTACCTGCATCAACAATGGTGTAAGTTTTACCTATTTGGGGGACGGGTGTCGTGCCCCCTTTTTCTCGCGAAATCGGATTTATGACATTTGGGAGGACAACTCGTTCCCTTTTGGGAATTGGGTTTTTTGATTTGAAGAGTCGACACCTAATGATTAAGTGCATTAGGACACTAGGAAGAATTTGTTTAGAAAAGCCAGAGTTTGGGTAAGGGCTAGAAATTATCTCGAGGGGAAGGTGTTAGGCACCCCTCAAGATCCACTAGTGTGGTTTTCGGCCATGCTACAAGTGTGACTTAAGTACAAACAATAAATAAGCAAATAAGGGTTTCAAATATAAGGGGTTGTCACATTATGATTACAAATAAGTTAAAGTTTGAAGAAACA